AGAATCAAAGTACTCCTTTGGTTCCAGACATAAACACAGTAATTTGAAAGAGCAGAAACTGGATATATGACAATTTTCTGACTTAACTATAGTTAGGTTAGATTTTTTTAAAAAAATGTATCTTCCTGCCAGCCATAGAGCCGTGTTGGCACAGTGGTTAGAATGCAGTATTGCAGGCTACTTCTGCTGACTGCCAGCTGCTAGCAGATGGCAGTTCGAATCTCTCCAGTCTCAAGGTTGACTCAGCCTTCCATCCTTCCAAGATGGGTAAAATGAAGACCCAGATTGTTTGGGTAAATATGCAGACTCTGTAAACCGCTTAGAGAGAGCTGTAAAAGCACTGTGAAGTGGTACGTAAGTCTAAGTGCTATTGCTATTCTTTTATATCACAGAATTGCAGTCACATGGTATGAAGCATGGTAAAGGTTAGAAAAGGATCTAGAAAAGAAGATTCAAGCAGGAGCTTTGGCAGCTTTATCAGATCCTTTAGGGAGTGTGATACCAGCCTGTGGTATCATACGAATCTCAAAACAAATTATTGTTTGTTTTGTTCAAATTTATGAACCAGCTTTGGCCAGTAAAGCAGTTTACTCTTGTCATTTCATGAAAGTGTCTGTGAAGATAAAGGCTCTCTTGTTCCAAGAGTGTGAATCGTGCTCACAGAGAATGGAAGCTTCTGGATTAGGGATGAGGGGAAATCCTTCTGCTCTTCTTAATGCATGACTTCATCTTACAGACCAAGAGGAGCGAACAAAGGCTATTGAGGCTTTCCGGGATGGGAAAAAGGATGTTCTTGTTGCAACAGATGTTGCCTCCAAAGGCTTGGATTTCCCAGCCATCCAGCATGTCATCAATTACGACATGCCCGAGGAAATAGAAAACTATGGTATGAAAGAGAGGGAGCCCTGTGGGGTTTTTGGTTACCGGGTTCATGTGTTGGAATCCTTAAACATATGCAGAATTTATCCACTGTGACAAAAGCAATATTAAAAAAAAATATTGAGTGAAAAAAACAATCAATCAGCAAAATTTGGCTTGCAGAAGTTATTATATACAGTATCTGAGTTCTAAAATGGGTGCTGCTAAAATAGGATATGAGACACCTTCTGGCTTTTCCTCTTATCCATGTTTTACCTGACTCACCTCTTAATGTATCTTTTAGCTTTATTACTGGGCGGGAATGCGGGAGATGCAAATAGCAACAGAAATCAACTGTTGAAGATTAGGAAATGAAGCTCCTCCCTGTTGATAGTGAATTTGAATTCCTTTTGAGAAACCTAACAGCTTCTCATCAGCAAAGGGGACAAGGGACATCAGCTGCATCATTTGGCAGATACAGGTAGTCCTACGACTTACAACAGTTCATTTAGTGACCGTTCAAAGTTACAACGGCACTGAAAAAAGTGACTTAGGGCCGTTTTTCACAGTTACGACCTTTACAGCATCCCATGACCATGTGATCAAAATTCAGACGCTTGGCAACTGATTCATGTTTATGACCGTTGCTGTGTCCCAAGGTCATGTGATCCCCTTTTGCGACCTGACAAGCAAAGTCAATGGGGAAGCCAGGATCACTTAACAACCAGGTTACTTAACATATCAACTGCAGTGATTCACTTAACAACTGTGGCAAGAAAGGTCGTAAAATGGGGCAAAGCTCACTAACAAATATCTCCCTTAACAGCAGAAATGTTGAGCTCCATTGTGGTTGTAAGTCGAGGACGACCTGTGGATTGTGTAGTTGGAACAATCAAAATTTATTACTCGCAGGCTGCCTAATTCTCAATGCCTCTGGCAGCTTAAGTCAATCAAGCAAAAGAAATTATTATCAATTCAATACATAATAAAAATAAAGGTAAAGGATGGCAAGTGTTTCATCAAAGCAAAGGGTCTGACTGTCCCTGGCCAAAAGCGTGTGTGAAGAGTCAGGTTTTCACAGCTCTTCTAAACAATACTAGATTGGGGCCAGCTGGATCTCAGGGGAAACTTAGTTCCAGCGGCAGGTGCTGCTACAGAGCAAATGGGCTTCTGGGGTTCTGATAGATTACCTGATTTAATTGAAGGAACCTGGAGCATGTCACACCCCATTGAATCTCTCGGTTATATATTATGGGATACAGGTGGTTTTTTTTTTCAAGTAACAGGGATTTACGCCATGTAGAGCTTTATGGATAACAACCTGTATTTTAAATCGCACCGAGAAGTAAACTTGCAGCCAGTAGTATTCACAAAGCTGACATATTACGTTGGCCACTGCTTTTTGACCCAGCTTCTGGGTGGTCTTCAGGGGCAGCCCCATAGAGAGCGTGTCGCGGTGGTCAAGCCACAAGTCACTCATGACTGAAGGCCCCCCCACCCCCATATGCAGGTTTCATAATACATCTTATTTGAGTGACAATATCGTGATGTGTGCAACATCACTTTGAATTACTGGAGACTTGTGGCTTCTGTCTACTTTCTTTTGTTTTTATACAAAAGATTTAGTTTTGTTCCTCCTTTCTTTTTCCTTTCCAGTATTCTTGCTCATTCCTAATTTCTCTTCTCTTTTCTCTCTCTCTCTCTCTCCCTCCCTCTCTCTCTCCCTCTCTCTCTCTCTCTCTCTTTTGCTGCTTCTCTTGGAAGAGCAAGGGGAATTTGAATGTATGTGAGAGAAGGTATCTTATTTTGCCCACAACGAATGAAACTGGGGCTTATGAATTCAATTAATTTGTATGAGCAGTCTGGTCCTGATTTTATTTGGAATGTGGCTTTTGTGGGTATATGTAATCATTTGTAAATGCTCAGCTGCATTCAGTTGCCACGACGCCACTGCTATAAAAAGGGTTGACAGAGTCATAAAAAAAAAAATGTAACTCTTATGTAGGTACATGTAAAGTGTGACACGTCACACATTATTCATGAGGAGTGGGAAGGGCTTTCCAGGATTTTTTTTTCATTGGATAGGCTTAAATTAACTTGATGGGGAAACTGAATGGTCTGTTTTTTTGTCTGTTTTTTTTTTACTAATTTCCCATGGCTACTGTATTTTGCTTTCGTGAAGAAGCATAATCAAGTCATATTTCTTTGGGCTGAAAATGGTAATTGCGTCTGAATTTTTCCCTCTCCAGTTCATCGGATTGGGCGTACGGGCCGCTCAGGGAATACTGGCATTGCCACCACATTCATCAACAAAGCCTGCGGTAAGGAACTGAGAAACTGATATAAAAGCTGGGCTGTGATGAACAGAGCCAGAGGAACTAAGAGGGTGAAGGATGAATGAACTTCAACTAATTATATTTTTGTCAGCTGGGCTCATCCAGTCATGCTTCCTAATGAATCATTAACAACAAAGAATATTCTGGGGAACTGGGATATGATCAGTGAGTGGCTTGGGTACATCACGAGCAATATCTTATAGAGGCAGCTACTTGCATATAGGCACTGCCCCTTGTCTACGGTAATTGAAATGCCTTTGTGCTATATCTGAGAAATTGACCTTCATCTACATGACTTGTCTCTTGGTCCCTAGATGAATCAGTACTCATGGATTTGAAGGCGCTGCTGCTGGAGGCCAAGCAGAAGGTGCCCCCTGTGCTTCAAGTGTTGCATTGTGGAGATGAATCCATGTTGGATATCGGAGGTAAGTAGTCGGTTCGTAAAGAATGGGATGAGAGGAGGCCTGGGAGACCAGAATAGTTTTATAGTTAAGACAGTTCAACCTTCGGCATGGCTGTGTTAGGCAAAAGCATGTTGGAATTATGGTCATCTGCTATTTGAAGAAATGGAAGGAATTGTCTGCTCGGTGGCCTCATAAAGGAAGGAAAGAAATAACTGCTATGCAAATTAGAAGTTAGCCAGGTGCATTTTTCACAAAGTGTGGGAGGTTTTTAAGTCACATTAGAGCTATAATAAGACAGCCGTGTCTTGTGGCTGAGAACTGCATAGACGGTCTTCCTACTCCTCCCATGTGGTAATCATCTTTCAATGATCTGAACTTTTAACTGATGCAGTATTTTCACTTCCAGGAGAAAGAGGCTGTGCTTTCTGTGGGGGACTGGGTCATCGTATCACAGACTGCCCCAAGCTGGAAGCCATGCAGACCAAGCAAGTCAGCAACATTGGACGCAAAGACTATCTGGCACACAGCTCCATGGACTTTTAGATGGATTCTGCCTTTTGGCTAGGCATAGGTTCTTTTTTCCTGGAAAGACACCTTTTCTGAAATAATTCCAATGCAGTTTCTGGCACAACTATCACCAATAGGAGACAGGCTCTGGCAGAGGAGGACTTTTTCCATATGGGGATCTGAATGCTTCTGTTGAAAATATTGATCCTACCTCGAGGTGAAGTGCTAGGCTTGGTTGTCCTATCTCCCACGTTGCCTTCTGTGTGGACATTTTGTGCTAATTTGAGACATCACCTTGGTATCTGCACATTCCTGAAAGGCATGCTCCATCCTTTTTAAACACCTGTTTGTTTTTAAGCTGTTCAGTGTACTTTCTCTTGAGGGTAGCAGGCCATTGTTGCAATAATCAGTTGCATCAGAGATTGTCATGTGTGCTGGGGCAAACATTGCCTCTCTCCTCAGCAGTTGACCGTAATGAGGAGCCAGAGACTCGGCATGTAGTTCACATTCTACTACTAGCTTCTGGTCGCTATATAAACTGTATAATTTTATTTACCCCTTGCCTTGACTCCACCCATCTTGCTTCCCACCCATCTTGCTTTCTCTAACAGCTCTGTTTTGGATGACAGCTCCTGCAGCTGCAGAAAAGCTATTCTTGCCTGCAAAAAGTTGTTGAGTTAAATGTCTCCTGGGACAGTCGTCTGTCTCTCTTGGGACTTTTTGCCTGTTATAACTTCCTGCGTGCTTGCAGGCCCCAAAGAGGAAGTTAGCAGGCAGAGGAAGTTGCCTGCACTATCATACTTACTGACTCATCCCTTGGGCAGCCACAAGAGCTCATCATCTTGACAGTCTCTGTCGTACACTTCACTGGGTTGCTAGCTTGGATCTGACTCCTATGGAGCACCCTATAAAAGATGGGTTCCTGTATATTCAACACCCGAAATTTGGGAAGGTAAATGTGGTGTCTCACTTGTATTGCCAAAACTGATTCTACAGAATCGTAAAGGTAGAGATGAATGGATTTGTGGATTTTGTTTGCCTTGTCAAAGTCAAGGAATCTTTTCTGTATACTTTTCATTGTTAGGGCTTAAGATGTTAGCCTTGGTCGTACAAGGCAGAGCCTGCAGTAGCTGTGATTATCTGGTATTTATTTTCCATTCTCTTGCTATATTGTTATATTGAATTGTGAGTGTACAGCTCTATATTCGGTTGTTTCTGAATATGATTAAATCAAATGACAAATTAAATTAAATTCTGTGTACATTAAGGAGTGTAGCATAAATGTGTCTGTTGGCAAAATGTGATAAATTGGCCTGAAGCAATCATTCTGAATGGAATATGGACAAGATTACTTTGTAGGGTATGCCTTTTGAATGGAGAAACCCAAGACCAGGGCCTTTGTATTGAGTCCCGAGTCTGCCAAGTAGGGGAGACTCAGGCATTTTTAAATTTGAGGCAACCATGTTGAGGCTGGGATGGAGGGACGTTTGGATCCCCTTGTCTTATTCCCCACCCTCTTCACTTTCCTATCTCTTCTCAACTCTGGTGTTGCAGCTACCAACTAATGCAAATACAATCAAAGTCTTCCCAAAAGTAACATTTGGCAGTGTGAGGTGGGGAAATCACCAGCACAAAATCCAAACGGTTCAGTGATTTTCTCACTTTCAGTCACTTGCCTTACAGGCCAGGGCTGCCAGATGTCAGATGATAACGCCAGACTGGAGAGGAGGCATAACTTGGCTTTTAATATTCTAGCATTTCCTGAAAGTATTTCCATGGTGTCAGTGATGTTATCTCACTAAGCCTGGTGGCTCCCAGTGAAGCCAAAATCCAGAAGTCCAAAACTTTCTGGCAATTTTGGTTACTGGTGACATCTGACACATCAGGGAACTAGATTTCAAACCCTCTTTCATTAATCTCTGATTGTATTTTGAAGTTTGGGGAATGGCTGCTGGCAAGCATAATTAAATGCCAAGTTGAAGTTGCTTTCTTGTTTTATTGTAACCACTCTGAAAATTTGACAATGGAAATTGATATAGGCTAAAATAGGTTGTTACCATTCTAATGGCTGGAGCCTCCCAGCCTCAGTATTATTCCTTTAGTACAAGTGGAAAAATGTGTTTCATACCAAACTTTTAACTCGCTTTTAAAATGACACAGATTCTATATTGGGTTACCTAGAGTTCTGCTTTTTTTAAAAAAAATCTCATCTTTATTATTTTTATAATAATAATACATATCTAATACTCCTTCCTCCTCTATTTTCTCCACAACAACCCTGTGAGGTGAGTTGTGACTGAGAAAGAGTGACTGGTCCAAAGTCACCCAGCCAGTTTTCATGCCTAAGGCAGGACTAGAACTTGCAATCTCCTGGTTTCTAGCCTGGTGGCTTAACCCAAAATTGGCTAAATTTCTTAGCCAACTGAGATGCTCTTTCTAACAGCTTTGTCATATCACGCTCCGGAGAAGTAAGTGGCTCATACAGTACACTAAAACTAATATGAGTTGATGCTTTGGTTTGGCATGGTATGAACCAAGCTAACTATTCTTTCTAGAATAAACGATAGTTAAACAACCCACAGCTTAACAGTGATTGATTTGGTGTATCCCTTTGATAACTGCTACTCATTGAGGAATTTTACAGGAGGAGCACCAATTGGTGTGGGTGGGTACTATGATAATCCTCATCTTCCAAATATTTATACGAGCCTTTCTAAATCTGGTGCTTTCCATCTTTTCAACAGTATTTCCAACATTTCCAGACATTTTGTCTATGCTTCTCTTTGAATCAGATCCTCTGTTGCAACAAAAATTAGGTGGGTGGGTATAGAAAATAGCTCAGAACATAGATTGGCTGAGAATTATTGACGCTGATAGGCAGCAGTTTCATAAGATTTAGTCAGATTTTAATCCTGTCTGGAAAAGCTGACTATTGAATCTGGGGTATTTTATGTTTTAAAGTCAAATCCACTTAAGGAAAAGCAGTGCACCTACCTTCCTCTGGCCTTTTTTGAACAAATTACATATCTGACTTGCGTAATGGAAATTACTATATTTCATTTGCTCAATCGCTGATCTCAGACTATGAAATGCAATGTCAAAAGGGAGGGGACAGGCATTGGCTGAAGATGAGCTGGAAGATGAGCTGGTCCAATAAATAATAGCTGAGGGCCCTGAAACCATTACTCACTATCAAGTCTGCTGTTTTTTGAATCCCACGAGGATTAGAAATTTACATTTCTATTGACTGCTTGTTCAAGGGGAAAAAAAACCACAAATACCTTTGTTTCCACCTGGAAACCACTTTCTGGATTTTGTGCTTGAGGTAGAAAAAAATGAAACTTTGATTTTGGATTTTACCGGTTAGAAAGATTTGTTAAAGAAATGGCTAGTTCAAACTATTACATAAAAGTAAAAAGTTGTGGTTTGATGTTATTACCCTATTCTACTGCACCAAAGGGAATCAGAAGTCAATGCCATTTCCTTCTCCCCCTCTCCCTGCCTTTTTTCCACAGTTTTCTTTTCTCTTTTCCCTTCCAAATTTTTCCTAGTATTTTCTTTTGTATTTTTTTGTATGGTATATTATAAACCAATAAAATTGCTATTAAAAAAAGAAAAAAATTACACTGAGATTGTACAAATATTTTCTATGCTTATTATAAATGGCAAAGAGGGACTACGAAGTAATTGAAATGCCTTTTTGTGATTCTATACATTAGCTCCTACTTCTGTGAGTAGCTCAGTAGCAGTGGAATCATATTTTTTTTCCTGTTTCTGGGCAGCTACTTCAAAGTTACTTTCTTGTTTCTTCCTCGTGTGTGCAAATATTTGACTGCAAATGGATTGTTTCCTGGATTGCTTCATCCCCCCCATCCCTTTGCCTCCATTCACAGAAGACTTGGCGGAAAGTATGGGTCCAACTTTTTGCTGACAGTCCCTTTGGTGTTGCCCGTCTTGAGTACTTTGAAGCACGTGATGGTGGTGCAGCCGGAAAAGCAACCCTGAGGAAAGGGGAACGTAAAGTGATTCGCCTCTCGGACTGTGTCTCTGTGGAAAGAGCTGAAGATCAGAGCTCCCCCAAGGAGACAGTGCCTTTCTACTTGTGCATGCTGGAACGCAACTGGATGTTCGCAGCAGATCAGCCAAACGAATGGATTGAATTCATCTGCCAACTAGCTTTTCAGGTATTGATCAGTGTGTAACTGAATAGCATTCACTTGCATCTACTTGAACTGAATTATAGGATGATTTCTCATGCCCAAAAGTTAGCCATACAATAGCAATACAATACAATCGCAGAGTTGGAAGGGACCTTGGAGGTCTTCTAGTTCAACCCCCTGCCTGGGCAGGAAACCCTATAC